TCGTCTGAGTTCTGCGGTATTTAACGCTAGTTGAAAGCCGATGAATGGTCTTCTCCGCGTAAACAGGTGGCTTCGCTAAGCCGTTATTCTGTAGTCAGATGACTGTAGCCATCTCACTTTCAGAAGGCAGTGATGTTCGCTTGCCTTATCGCGTGCCTTATCATCGCACCCCGTTTGTTGCTCGTTGTGATTCATGATATCAAGGGGATCTGTGTTCTGGGCAAGCCGACAAAGCTGATTTCCTTTTCATCTGCTCGCAGGGACCGCGGAAGCGGAGGGGGGGGGCTGCGGGAGGACTATGGGGGCTTGAGCTCCCCTAATAATTTCCATAAGGTACCTAATACCATACAAAAATCACCCTACTCTTGTTTTTAGCATGTTTAGCCTCTCAAAAAAATATTATAGCCCCCTCAGTCAGTAGCATGCGCCGCGGCTCTTGCCTGCTTGCGTTAATGAAAAAAACGTTTTAACTTTAATAGACGAAGAAGTCTTGAATTAAAGATAGTTTGAGATGGAAAAGCATTATCACTTGAGAAAACAATCCATGGGAAGTTCCTGGCGTAGTTGTACAATAAGAATTCAAATCTTGATGTTGAGCTAGCTCGTGTGAGGCTGCTTCTGAGATAGCAGCGATCAACTGCAAATGATACTTTATGTAAATAAAAATACGTTGTTCCCATAAATTACCATATTGCTTTTAAGGTGCTGCATGAGGCTTTTTGTTGGAAGGTCAAATTTTAATCCTTTGGTTTAAAGAAGTCAATGACGTATTTTGATGCGAATCTCCCGTCCGTCAAAATCGCTACCAATAAAGTAAAGCGGGTTGTCGGACCAATGTCCTTATTTTTGGATTATGGCTGTCGCAACCGCCTTGATATTTTTACTCACAAACAATGAAATGACATCTGGTCAGTGAAAGTAGGCATCACGGGGCGTTTAATCGCAGTAAGCTATCCTCTTTGCACTGGACAAATGTTGAATTGGAATTAAACTCTGTTGTTTATAGGTAACTTCTTTTGCTGAAAAGAAGAGGTTTTTTATAAACTGTTTTGCCCGTTGTTTATAGGTGTCCATCACCTAAAAGTGTCCTTCTGGGAGGGTTTTGTTATTTGTGGAGCGTGGAACCCTTTTTTGATTCCCTAGAGCTTTATTGCACTACAACCTCTTCTGCAAAGAGAGCCCTCTACATTGGGTTTAGCAGTTTTACGATTAGCAGTTCTTCAAATATTTGGACTCTATAGATCGACAGAATTTTTGTAATTACCTAGAGTTGCAGTTAAATAATTTTGGGATAAAAAAGATAACTGTGATTTTATTTTATTTATTTTATTTTATTTTAAAGTTATTTACCAAGGGTACAAATTCAGTCTAAATACTGTTTTACAATTGACCCTGCAAAACTACTTACAAAATTAAAAGTTATATACAATAAAATTTACAATAAAAAGATCGGAATATGGCTAAATCAAAGATGTATATATAAAAAATGATTATTTTTCCTTGAGTTTGGACCTGAAGGCATTGGTTCAGGGAGCCATTTTTGTGTCAAAATCGAGACTGTTCCAGAGACTGGCCCCACGATACGCAAAGGACTTCCGGCCATTGCCAGTTCTCAACATGGGTATTGCAATGTCTGTTTTAGAGTTTCTTAACTCTCTTAAATACACCCCGGATAATCTCACGAATAGGTCACCGAGATATCTAGTTGCAAGAGAGTTAAGAGATTTGTAAACCATAGAATCTGTTTCTTTATTTATCAGCTTTTGTACAGATGGCTGGCCAAGTCTCTGGAGCAAAGGAGCTGCATATGCATCAAAAGGGCTATTTATTACTATTCTGGCGGCTTTATTCTGGAATTTTTGAAGCATGTCTAGCTTTGAAGCACTACAAGAGCCCCAGACGGAGCAACAGTAGCTGAAATGTGGCTCTATGATGCTTCTATATAAATTTATCAAAGTGCCCGTTTGAACAAAATTTCGCGCATACTTCAATAGACCAATTGCTCTGGAAATCTTCTTTTGTAGCGCGCTAATGTGACTTTCCCAAGTAAGGCAATTATCAATCACGACTCAGAGGTATTTTGTTTCGTTTATTAGGTCGATTTCATCGCCCCCTACCCTAAAAGAAAGAAATGTGCTAGGATGATGGGATAATAATCATCCAGTTATGAAAATTCGAACAAATAATTATCAGTTTTGCGCATTTTTTCTTTGAGAAGCCGACCTCTTATAAAACCAAAATATCAAGAAGTTATTATCACTCTCAACCTTGAAATCGCCTGAAAATGATTTTTAGACAATTTTCTAACATATCCCTGGTTAAATTGACATATATTTTTACGGAAAATCTCTTCCTGATTGTTAGGTGAAGTATTTTATGTTATTCTACGGCTCGTTACGTTTCATGTTATTCTATGGTATTGCTTCTAATATGTAACTCTTTGAGCACTTTTTAAAAAAAAGCATGTAAAAAACCTTTTTAGAGCTTTCCGTGCAGAAATCAAGCAAATTTAAGAAACAAACAACTATTTCTAAGCTGAGTTTGTTGCATGATGTGTTTTTCTGATATGCGAGCAAAGCTTCAATGCGCCTCTGCATATGAAAAATCGGGGTCGAAATCCCGAGCAACAAAGCAATGCGGTCAAAATTTGCTGTACATCCACCATATGTATATGAATTATTGAAAACAAGCCGCGCATAACACGAAAATAGACCATCACGCTATCATGCGAAGCCCTTAAGCCCCCTCCTTTGCTGCAACTCTTGTGGATGGTTCGTTAACGTTTGGGATTTGCAATTCGTTTCTTCGACTAAAATGAATTTAAAAGAATCTGTGTGCCCTAAAGTTAGACGCTTGGTTTCTACTCAACAAAGATGATTTTTCTGACTTTTGGATGGTTAAGTAAGACCTCTACAGGGTAGTAGTTTTTAAAGTAGAGTAGGGATCCAAAAGTCGCTTGCAAATTGGTGAATGATTTTTGCAGCACCAAGCTGTCTATATATCTGGAGAGTTTAATTATCAGTAGAGTATAGCCTTAGGTCAGCCTCAAGCTGGCAAGTTTGAAGGTTTCAGATCCGATCCTGATCTCAGGCTAATTGAGTCTGTTGCGACGTTCGCTGCCAAGCTGCAATATCATTGTCCCTTGTAGTGGTCTGTACTATGGTTGCACAGGAAATACCCCTTTGTACCAGAGAACATATTACCTGTATATAGTAGAATTTTAATACAAAGTAACAACTAGCTATTTTCAGTCAGAAATTTTGTACCCTTTCCAAAAACTTCAATTTATATTCCTGGTTCCTACAATCTTTTACCTTCTTTTTTGACCATTTGCTTCTAACTTTAACTAAAAGCCTAATGCTTAGCAATCTGAATAATCCAAATGAAAACTGTTCTCGGATTCTAATACAACATTTAGTTCGCAAGGAAGGACCTTACTGCTGCACTTTTGCACCTATTGCTGGTAGGTGATAGTTTTGGACAACAGTTGCTGAAACCATGCTCGTTTTTTGTATCATTAAACATTTAAAATTCATAAATCAACACCCTGAAACTGGAACCTAACAGAATCAGCTTATCTATGGAAAAGACATGGTGCAGGTTTTCACACGCCTGTACATAAAAGCATTGCTGGCCTTTTATCTCTAAATTCTTCCGCCATTTCTTATGCTTTGGCATTGATTTGTGATAAAGAAAACACCCACGTAACTTTCAACAGAGTACCCTTAGCTCCCCAACGTTGGGAGAAATCCCTGTAATTACGTAACGTTAGGAAGGCTTTCCGTAACCCCGTGACATTGGGAGAAATCCCTGCAACCCCGTAACGCTGGGAAGAATCCCCATAAAGTTGGGTAGAATCCCCATAAAGTTGGGAAGAATCCCCATAAAGTTGGGTAGAATCCCCATAAAGTTGGGAAGAATCCCCATAAAGTTGGGAAGAATCCCCATAAAGTTGAGGAGAATCCCCATGAAGTTGGGAAGAATCCCCATAAAGTTGGGAAGAATCCCCATAAAGTTGGGAAGAATCCCCATAAAGTTGAGGAGAATCCCCATAAGTTTGGGAGAATCCCCATAACGTTAGGAAGAATCCCCGTAACGTGAGAAAGAATCCCTGTAACCAAGTAACGTTGGGAAGAATTTTCGTAACCCTCTTAATGTTTGGAAGAATCAGCATAATGCGATAACGTTGCGTTTTGCAAGCGTGATGGTGTAACACCGTAACTTTCTTGTCGTCTTGCAAATTGATTTTGTTTAATTATACGCATAATCACGTATTAGTCCCGCCTGCAAATGTTGATAACTTTTCTTTCTTGGTGGGTTATGAATTTCCCCTAAAAGATGTTTTCCTTTCTCTCCCCGACCCTGATTTCTAATATCGATATATTTGCTCAATAATCTCCCTCAAGCTTTCTGAAAATCATGAAATAACCAGTCTGATATTGTGTTCTTGGCATTTTGCGCTTCTTCTATCATCCAGCTGATCGAGCGATCTTCTCGTTTACTGCTACAAATTTTCACAGAAATATTGTAATCACTCTAAATGCCACCTCTTGAACGGATATGCACGGAGCAAAGTCCGTAAATCAGCATTTAAGAAACGTTAGTGATGATTTTTTGAACTAAGTTTTTTTAAAGAAAAATGGAAGCAAGAATTCTTCGGTATTATAATTTTATCCAACTTGAACTGCATTTTTGAAGCTGTTTTTTCGAATGGGTGATATCTCTACACTACACGACTTTTTGTGAGCAGACTCTCGCCCAGAATAGAACATTGATAACCATTTGCTTTCAAATTTTTCGAGCAATTGGTTAAGAGTTGGCTGAAGTTGTGTTAAAAAATTCTTTTTTCAGCCTTAAAACTTTTTTCTTTTTGTATTTCTTATGAACACCACAGTCCCATCTACTAGTCTCGACTTTTTTTCAAAATTTGCCAATGAATGCCTTTTTGAGCGCCGTAAATGCCTTTTCAACTTGATATTACTCTCAAATGTTTCTTTCAGGCTGGCTGGATATGTGGAAGCCGTCGCTGTCAAACTTGGATTTGACGTGCCACCAATGTCGACAAGACAGGCAAATATGTGGAAAACGAAATACGCAGCATATTTTGTGAGTTATGTGTTCACTACTCGATTCAATTTGGCTAGCATTTAAGTTGTTGTCATAATGTGATTCTTTATTGATTCAAGAATTCTGATTGGATGAGATAGTACTGTCTTTCAATGACCAGCCAATCACAAGCTAGTATTTTAGGCTCTGAAACAATTCGCTATAAACTGATGTGGTAGTGATAGTTCGCTTCCAAGCTGGTTGTAAGATTTTCAAGTTAGGCCTATTAAAACGGTGTATCGGTTTTTGGTGGAGAAAATTCAGACTTGAAATACCGACTTGTATGTGTAGCGACAATTTTAAAACCTCCTCAGTTATTGAAGGAAAAATGTGACAGGGCAAGAATGCGAGGATAAACGGTACTTTCGATGTTTTCTCGACGCAGAAATTTCTGCGTATTTAATCCTTACAAAATTTACAAATTGAAATAACAATATTAGCAGAAATTCATCTCCACCTCGGAGAAATATGATGTAATTAATTGGTTTCCAATGTACTTTTGAAACCTGGATGATCACGTCAACACTTTTCCGTCACAAATGATACAAACCAAACACCCATTTTTGAGCCTTTGCTAATGTCAAGCGTGTGTTGCTTATTCACACGTTGGAAAGAATCCCCGTCACGTTGGGTAGAATCCCCGCAGAACCCCCATAACGTTGCAAAAGATCCCCATTACATTGGGTGGGAAGAATCCCGTAACTCCGTAACATTGGAAAGAATCCCAATAACGTCAGGAAGAAACCCCATAACATTGGGAAGAATCCCTGTAGCCCCATAACCCTAGGGAGACTCCTCGTAACCCCGTAACATTGGGAAGAATCCCCATGACATTGGAAAGAATCCCCACCAAGCGTGTGTTTACAAGCATTACGTGTTTTCAAATGTAAAATGTTGTTTTCACTATTTTTGTGTTGCGTGATGTTGCGGTTTGTTGTTTGATATTTTTAGTGTATATCTTTAATATTTCATGCGCAGTTTATGTATTTTAATCATTTGTGAGGATGGTATGTTGTGTTTAGCCATTTTTAATCGTCGGCCGGTGACTGTAAAGGACATCGGCATGGGAAATACTAATTATCTTCCCTTGGATTATTTTGCATATCACTTTAATCGTTAGCAGTAGCCGTGCTTTCAAGGACCGACTTCTGTTAGATTAGTTTGGGAAGCTTGATTCATTGTTAGATTGTGGAAGATGCGTTTTTACATAGATACTCTAGGTTTTAAAGATACTTCATAGAGGATATGAGCTTTTGATGGAACAGCCTTGTCAATATGTTATGATTTTGCTAATTCTTGCGAGTTTGTGTTGCTGAAGCTACAATGCCTGCCAAAAGTCTTGGAGCAATAACGTCAGCTTTCAGTGTCAAATTTAGCTATCCCCCCATCGAACAATGTTGGTTTACTATGAAACGGGTTAGGATTTTAGGAAGTATTTTCTTTTACGACACTTTTACGATATTTATCGAAACTATCAGCATTGTTCTAGGGGAAAGGGGGCGGAAATAAAGATTTTTTTCGGAAAAGGAATAAAAGATATCATGCGACGCAACGCAAATTTCTGGGTGTTCTTAGTATTTGGCAGACATTGCAGCAACATAATCTTCAATTTGAACAAAATTTGAAGTAGATAAGCCCGCGCGTTCGACACCGGAACCAATTAGTTTGAAACTATAATCATAATTACACGACCACTTGAAATTAATGATTGTGCAAAAACTCTCCCTGTTGTTTCTGAGTTTGTAAAATTTACAGATAATTTTTCCTCATATCCGCAGGGACGGTCCATTGGGATAGCAGTTGGGTGCATCATCGGAATGTTCCCCTTATTTTTCATCAGCGAAGTGGATGACGAGGCGAAGGAGCATCACCATGAAACGAGAAACTCAAATAGTTAATTGCAACTATCACCATATGTCTTATTACCATTTTTACCTTTGTATTAGTTCTTTTAAACATGTAAATCCCTAATAATTCAATCTATTAGAATATCTTTTAGGTTTATATGCTATTAAACAATCTGTATATAGTCTTAACTTAGTTTTGACCATATGGTTTAACGTGTGATACGCGGATTCACCTGTATTCACGCAGAATCACGCAGAATCACGCAGAATCCCATAAATTGGCACAGATTCATGCAAATTTAGACAGACTAATTAATGTAACTTTCTTACACTATAATTTTAACCCTCCCCCTGAACAGTAGCTTCCTTGAGGGAAATTGTTTTATCGTAGGAAACTATTGTTTTTTACACCATTAGAAATTGTTTGTCTTTTTTAAAATGCTATTTATTTTTCTAGCAAATTTTACGGTAAAGGGTCAAAACTGGTTTAAAAATTAGCAGACGAAATTTCCGAAGATATGACCAAAATAGGCGAATTTTTTTCTTTTAATTATTTTGTCCGCCTATATTGTCCCACCTTGTCCATCGAATATTTTGTCCCTTAAAGTAACAGGCGTCTGTAAACTGGTACAAATCAATTCCTTTTGGCAGTCCCGCACTCGACATACATGCATACGGTAATTTTCAAAGCATTTTATGAGTGATATTTATGACAATAATTTTCATTTGTTTTCAACTGCACTTTCTTGATGATCACCCTTCCCCCAACAGAAGATAATTAATAGCTTTTATGTGATTCTAAAATTCAGTATACTGACAGTATGCTTTTGTTTGACAAGATTATATCCTATACGCATTCATCTGCAAAACAAATTCTTCGACTAGGCCTATTCACCTTTTCCATCCTTAGCCTAAGGTATCAATAGCCTAAAGTGTTTGTAAATTAGGAATTTCAATGAAAATGATAAAGGACAAGTTTGTAATTTTTTGTCTCATTCTTGATTTAATCAATTAAATCCATGTTCGTGATCAACCAACAGCTGAAAATATATATCTACCCAAGGTCCTCCTTTACGAATATATTTTTAACAGGAAAAGTTTACAAGTTTTTTAAGCAGGCAAAGCCATAATCAAAAAATCGAAAAAAATACTGGCTTGAAGATCCGACATCTGCTCTTTCAAACTCTGACAGTTAACTTAGCACCAATTAATATTCAAACCATTAATAACAAACTCAAAGACTATATTTCCACTTTCTGATTATAATTCACTGTGAAAGCAGACTTTAAATCTCTGCTTAATACGTTGTCTGCAAACAATTAAGAACATCTAGAAAGCGAATTATGCTTCTTGCAGCGCGTTATTCATACTCAAACCTAGAATCTATAATTTATTTAAACGATTATTCACATAGAAACTTGAATTTTTGGACTGAAATTTGCTTGAGTGAATCTAGACCACAATCTAGATTAACTAAAATTAAATGAATTTGAGAGAGTTTGTTTAATCTAATTAACTGCCGTACTAAAAACCTGCATTTTCGTTTTATTGTGTTCTTTTCGTGATAAAAAATCAACGGAACGTTTACCACATCTGGCTGAACAGTTCCTACAGCTAGCAAAACTTCAAGTTGAAATAAACAGAAAGAGATTAGTTGGAGGTCATGATACGATGTGGATATGTTTCTTTCAGAGTCAAAGGGTTCCAAGGGGTGTATTCCTCGCATTTAGGGGATAAAAGAGCCAAAATGTCTCAAAATATTACTTAACAATATCGATTTTGGGGGGGGGGGGGGGGGGGGTTTGTAGCTCGCAATTGCCAACATGCAAACTGCAATCGCAAATGATCCATGGCAAACGTGCAAAATTTTGTCAAGTTACCTTTTTACACTGAAAGCCTTAAAAATCTCTCACCCAAAAAAGTATTTAAAATGCAAAATGCCTAGACAAAAACACAGCCTATAGGTTCTTGAATTCTTAGGTTTATCTCAAAGAGGTTTACTACATTCATCATTTTTATAACAGATAGCTGTAAAATTCCACCAGTCCAAGTTCATAAATAGCCGAAATTTGTTAAGATTAACAATGCAGCTCGATTTTGTTTGATGATTCTGAGAAAGTTTTCTTAGTACACTTAAAGCGGAATTTTCTTGGTAGGCCGTTGTCGACTTTCAAATATTGCTTGATTAATATCATTAAGTCCGTGGTAGTTGTAGCTTGACACAAAATCTGACAATGAATTTTGCTATGATGTTCTCGATAAATTATTGGAACAATTAAACAAGTCAATAATAGGCTCACATATTAAATCTATACGTCACCAACCCTCCTTGTAAAAAGAAAGACACAAAAATACACGCAAAAATCAAATCTGTAAATTTTATTTATTATTAGCTACTGCATGGAAGCAAAGTGTGATCTAAAAATTCTAGAAATATTCAAAAATTCCTACTTATTCTAATTATATCGAAATTATTATTAATCCATTGGAATACAAACGCACCGAGTAGAAAATTTATTTGACGATACTACAAACTTCAAATGTGTATTGATTACCACGAAATCTAAATATTTTGATGGTTAACAAGCAGCAAATACCTAGTTTGATTTAATACATTTGAAAATCGATTTTATTATAATTTCTTTGACTATCTCAAGAAACGGGAGTCAAATATGTATTTGTTCAAGCTTTGCAAGGGTATATCTTGAGTGAGGTTTAATCCTCTTTGATATTCAAACATTGTTTCGAAATAAAAATTTTAAGGCTAAGCAGTGTAGGCACTCGTGCAACAAGGATTCACAGACATGCTGCTTGGAAATAGGTATAAACAGCGTTAACAATATAAGTATTAATGATAATAAATAGAAAAAGGTGTCAGAGTGCGTGAAATGCATTTGATTAACTAAGATATTCTACTGAATTCGAATTCTGTCACCCCAAAGCATAAAAAGCGCTGCTAAACATTGTTTTCTATAAAGGCATGGCAACAAAATACTACCATCCCTTTGCTTCACAAATTCACAAAATTGACAATTTATCTAAAGCAGATCCAAGCGCATAGCAGGCGTTTCAAGAAGGCATTTGCATTCTAAAATAAAATGATATATTGTTCACAGCACATCTGTCTGAAAAGGACAAAAAGCTGTTCTACTTTTCCAAAAGACCATCCAACTCATCAGGGACATATTATTCAACAGCCTTCAGTGAACAATCTGCTTATTGTCTTGGAAAACAATTTATCCACCCATAATTACATTTCATTGGTAAATGTATGCAGCTAATGGTTCTCTATATAAAACACAACTGACTACACTAATAACGCAAGTGAAACCTTACTAAAGCATTTCATTTTAAATAAGAACGCTGTCACTCAAGACTCATTTCTTGCTACTTGATTTGCTTGTTGGCGTCATGCTCTTTCTTGTAGTTGTCGGCGACTTCTGTGCATCTGTGCTCTTCCTTGTTGGAGCTTTCAATGTATCACGCTTCGCTGGCGCAGTTTTTCCTTTTGGTTCATCCCCTGTAGGAGACAAAGGCGTCTTGTCATCAGAGGGAGTTCTTGCCCGACTCGCCCCCGTGCTAAGCCTAGGTTTTGTACTTTGAGTGGAGGCTTCTTTTGATTTTGCAGATTCTTCTCTTGAAGTTGATCTTCTTGTCGCAGGCGACTTTCCTAGTATATCTCCCGACTTTTCACGTTTCATTTTTGTCCGTCCGTCAGCAGCATCCTTGACATCAAGAGACTGCCTGCTAGTCGAGCGCCTGATAACACTTCCTTTCAGACTTCCTGAAGAGGACTCCCTTGTTGACTTAATACCATATCCGCTGCCTTTCACGTTGCCATAAGATGACCTCGTAGCAGATTTACCAGCCTCAGTCTCAGATTTCTGGTCACCGACTTGTGATGCTACCTGCTTTCCACTTCGGCGTCTCTCTAAGTCGGATTTCTGTCGGGCGTTTAGAGACGTTTTTGGCGACAAACTGCTTCTAAGGTCCCCGGAGGCTTCTCTAGACACACCACGTGGTGTCATTTTTGTGGACGACCCTTCTCGTTTTACTTTGAATGCCTGCATGGATTGAGATGCTCCTTCAGGGAGGTACAGGTTGTCCCGTAACTGGTAGTTCATACGGCCTTCAGCTGAAATATCAAAGTGTTTAAAATTCAGCTCGCTGAGCCAAGACAGATAAACAAAATTACAAAAAATATTCGCAGTTTCATAACGGTATTAAAGGTTTATGAATATGCTTGTAAAAAAAAGATAGCACTTTGGTATAAAGCAATTATGTAATAGAGAAACATGCATTTAAATATTTGATTAAATAAATAATTTGGCTACACAATTTCTGTTGCAAGAAGCAGCACCTTAACAATCTGACAATATGGGAAGGTAAGAATTCGAAATTTTTCCAGCAAATCAAACATTGACTCTTTAAACTTTAAACGAAATTGAACTACAATATTTCAAATTCCCAGTTATACAATTACTATGGTAAGAGGCCAAGAAAAGGGAAAACACATACCTCTGCAAGGGTCATGCTTGTTGAGAAATTCGAATAAACTCAACCATCCCCCACCAACTCGCACCATCACATTACTCCTTAATATGCGAACCAAGTATTTCTTCTGAGTCTCTCCAAAGACGTAGTAAAGATCATCGCCCTTCCCCACTCCAACACGATCCGCTTGGAACTTCTTCTGGCAGCAGCACTTGTCACTCTCTGTCTCAATCTGCAATGTCAATAGACAGGTCACTCATACATTCGTGACATGCAGCATTTAATATAATTTTTTCACACAGCTTTTGATTGCGAACACGAGAAAAAGACTGCTGGAACTTATGCTTCTTTGAGAGCTTATGCGGCTCGATGTCAAGAGAATTTCTGAATTCAACCAACAGGTGAAATTAGTGACAATAATGCAAAAGCGAGAAAGTTTTATAGAAGGCAAATGCCTCTAGTCATTATTGTACTAAAAGTGAAGACAAAGAAGAAGGGGACGAAGAAGAAGTAGGAAAAGGTGGTAGAGAAACAGGGAGAGGAAGAATAAAAAACGGAAGAAAAGAAGAAGAACAAAGAGCATATGACGAAGGAAGAATTAGAGCAAAAGGAGGACGAACTGAGAGGAGAAGAACCAGAAGGATAAGAAAGGAGAGGAAGATGGAGTAAAACGAAAAAGAAGAAGGAAAAGAAGAAGAAAAAGAAGAAAATAAAGAGAATGAAGAAGGGAAAAGGAAGAAAAGGGGCGGGAGAAGGAGAAAGAAAAGAAGAAGAGAAAGTAGAAGGAGATGAGAGAAGAGAGGCAGGAAAACAAAAAGATGGGAAATGAATTTTGGTTAAATTCCTTACATTTAATAGCAAATGCGATTCAATAGGATATAAAATCTTAGAGCTGCAGAAAATTCGATTTTTATCAAAATGAATTCACTACAATTATAACAATACAAATTCGTTTAGCACTGATGTTTTACCTGGTGCTGAATTTGTTCCTTCGCAGTTGTAATTTTTCTTGTTCTTGCAGCTTTCTTTTCTTTCAAGGCATTGAAAAAATCTTCGTAATCAAGCTGGCCATTCTTCTCAAACATGCTGAAAACCAGTTCATTTTCCCAACGTTCAGTAATTAAATCTGGAAAGAAATAAGATATTTATTGAAACAGGCTTAGTGATGGTGCTAATCAGATTAGTCAGAGGTACAGGAATTGGACAAAAAATACACCAATCCAGTCCATTATAAAGAACAATTTTGTAATAGAAACGTCAACATAAAATAAAAATAAAATTCTTTAATAGAGCAGAAAATAAAGCAGAAAGCCTTTGTAATACAACTGAAAATTATTGCACTTTTATCACACTGTTTGCAATAAAATTATTCCAAATGAGGTTTTTGTATGAAAGAAATTTCTAGATTTTCGAAATCTTGAAAAACCTTTCCAGTATGAAAGATTTTCTTTACTTGATCTACCAGATAGTTCTTAGTTTTAAAGAACATTAGTTTTTAAAGAACAAAGTCCAGCATGTAAAACAATAATAAACATATCAATTACTTGTCTCAAGAATGCCATCAACAAATTCTTCTCTGCTGAGTTTGTTATCCTTGTTTCTGTCTTTCCTTCTCCATAAATCTGAGACCCTTGATTTTGTCTCCTGTAGCCATTGTCGATACTGAAAGAAAACTCAAAAGGGTGAGTTGCAATACCAGACGTAAAAATAGTAAGCAGAGCTAATCTCGTGTAATTCATACGACAAACAGACACAAAAGGTGAAGTAAGCCGGTTACTCAAAAGCTTCCTACAAGAATCATAACTGTAATATTGCACAACAATGAAAATTGCTAAAACGGAATTTCAAGAAGAATTTTTTAACACATTTCAACACATTGCAATCAGTGGGAGATATTTGGGCAAATATTATGGGGAGGGGGCGTGTTTGCTATTGTTTTGATAAGATGAAATTTCATTTGTCCATTATATTAGAAGGAAAGACCCTTGTCTTCAAGAATATAGGGGTTGAGGGCCCACTCCTTCGCCCCTTGGTGTCCACCATTGATTGCAATAAAAGCAAGCAAGGAGGACAGAACTGTATCGTATTTCAAAAACTCACCCTAGCTTTCCAAGATGCCCAGTCAAAGTCAGCAGATGCTTTTTTCTAGAGATGGAAAATCGAATAGAGTTAATTTCTAGGCAAGGGTAATCAAATCGATTGTAAAATCCGTTGCAGAAATAATACAACAAACAAAAAGAAAAATACCCTTTCTTTAAAGCAATGGTGCCATGAAATTATGACGTAAGACATATGGCTGATGTCTCCAAAAGCGAAAAATTAAAACAGAAATGTCTAATCATAACTCAATGTATTTTGGATGGTGCAACAACAAAACATTGGTGCAATGATAGCAATATTTCCTTGATCACAGGGTGACAACAACTTCACTTACAATTCGTATATCATCGAGCCTCTTTTGCAGCTTCTTCATCCTCTCCATCAGATTCAACCAAAGCTGTTGCCATCTTTTCGACAACTGTGAAATTCGTGGATTGAGGAATTCCTTTCCGGTGCACGCATCATGCGCCTTCCCAGGGGTCCTCACTGACCTTCTCTTATCAGGTGAAACTTTCTTTGCGTTCTTCACTACCTTGTCATAATCCGGCTGCTTTGAAGTGGCCTTTCCTTGCCGCACCTTATGCTCTTCTAGCAATGCAAACAAGGCATCATAATCATCAGGCAAAGGCAATGTCTCTACCTCCGCTAAAGCAGCTTCTTCCGTAACAATCCACGCCATAAGCTCGTCAATCAATGTTTGTTCGGTAACAAGAATTTCTTCGCCTTCTCGTAATCTAGTTTCGCGCTGTTTCGCCCACGCTGTTACGTCATTCCACCTTCGCTTCAAAAGCGCAATTTGATGCCGAACGACTTGCAAGGCATTTGGATGGCAAAATCGTAGAATCACTTCTCCTTTTCGTAAAACTTTGGTTACATTGCTCTCTTCAATAACGATTTCCTTCTGGAGAACCTACGGAAGCATTTTACACACTTTAAAGGACATACTCAAGTTACAGTCAATCATTAAAAACCAACAGCAAAACAGTTGAAAATACAACTAAGACAACTAAATAGAATTCACAGAAATTTACCTCAAAATCCTCCAATTGCTTCTTGATTCCTTCAAGGTCGTCCACGATCGGTCCTTGTGCTTTCAGTACGTCCAAAAATTCAGCAATTCGCTTCAACGTGTCTTTTGTTCCTTTCTGGAATTCTTTGGCCAGCTCTAAGGCGTTTTCGAGTCGACCCTACATAAAATCGAAAATATCAGACAGGCTCTTTCAAATACGCCGAATCAACTGACTTTCATAAAAAAACCGCAGATTTGACTTACACCCTTAATTGATTCACTAGAGGTACTTTTTAATTGCAAAACAAAAAGCAAAGGTTTATGCTCTTCAATTATGTTTATTTCAAATTAACAACAAGGCCAGGAAAATCAAGCTCGGTTTTTACCTGTTTGGTTGACGACATCGAGGAGACCGCTTCCCATCTTAGTTTCAACTCATCCAATTTCTTTTGCAATGATGAAGGATCTTGAACAAGCTGTTCTTTCACTGTTTGTTCACCAATCGACATGATTTTGTCAAAGTTCAATTTTCTACTGTTTAGGTCATTGACAAAACGCTGTAAAAAAAGCAATGAAAATTATAACAGAACATTGAAATATAAAATACATATATTTACGTAACAAAGAGTTGATGACAGAACATTAGAAAGGGATGAATGGCAGATCAGGCAATCTTTGGAGTACATCGTTGCACTCTAAAGAAACTGTTAAAACAATTAAGTGATACAAACAGGCACATACTCACTAGAGTTACGGTGATACAAAAAAGGCTCAATACTATATTTGAGATCTTCATTCAACTAGCACAACATACCTTATGTTGATCAATAAGCAATTTCACCGTATCAACATCTCCCATAACCGCAGTGCCCGTAGACAGGATTGGTTCTACAGTACTTAGCCATTCTTCCAAAGCCAGCACAGCATCTTGGAACATCCCATGGAAGAGCAATGCTTCTTCTAATTGCCTCTGTCTGGCTACCAGCATTCTGCTCAACTCGTCCCATAGTTCATTGACCTCGTTTTCCTTCTCTTCTACAACGACAGCCTCTTCCTGGCTGCCTTTGTTCTGAAGCATGTTTCCGCTTTTTATCACTGCATTCAATGGTTGTTGCAGTGCATTGAGGCTTAATTGTAACTCCTTATGTTGTTTCATCTGGGCCTTCACAGTACTCTTGTCTTTGCCCACAGTCGAATCAGCTTTGACATTTTTCTCAAGCTCTCTCAGTTTCTTCATGATTTTATCCGCACCTTCAAAGAACTGCTTCGCAAGCGTCCTGTTTTCCTCTAACGATTTTTTCCTATGCTTTACATCAATACAGATCATTTTGAATCGCTCATCGATTTTCCTCACATCACTGTTCAACATATAGGCCTCATCTGAACTGCAAGTGTCCGTTATTTTCACTACCAGCTCCTTTATATTTGTGATGTCAGAGCGATGGCCATCGATTTCATCTGTGAGTTCCTACAAAATATCATTTTAAAATATAAGAAAGGAAATGTATTAAAAACAATTTTATTTGAAGCATACGATTAAAATCCAGAAGTGTTTCATGTGTTTGTTCCTGGATTTTATTTCATTATATGTCTTCAAAAATTTATAATGCTTAATTTTATTTATTCTCCTTCAATATAAGGAAAAATAATTTGACATGATACAACATGGGTATACTGTAACACAAATAAATAACTTAACTTGGTTTTCTAATTCAAGGACCTTTCTTAACTAGGTAATCATCAGGCACAAGTTAGAAAATATGTAAATTTGCGATCAGCAAAAATAGAGGGACAAGCAACCATCTCTGCAAAAAGTGATCTGAAATATGTTAATCAGCAATCCCTGCAGACAATCCATCGAGCATGAACGCCAGTTTTTCAGAGCAAAGTTGGCCAACTATCTCCGTCTGGGAACAATGTTCGTTTACTATAAAAGGATGTAAGAGATTGGCAGATGCGTTTTTATGTGCCACCAAGACGTGTATAATATTTGCCTAACGGTCAAAGATATCTGGCGAAGGAGACGGAACTATTGATATTTGGGAAAAGAAATAAAAAAGATAACGAAAAACTATTTTTGGAAGACATTGTATGATGACGAGAAAAAACTCTGATAGTAAGAAGAAGAAGACAAGTAACTGTTAAGAAAAGACAAACCTTGAGGGATGAAAATTGGTTCGCTAACGGCTCTAACAATATTGCAGGGGTGTCAAATTCGGTGCATCTCTCCTCAATTGTGATCAACCATGATTCAAGCTGCTTGGAGTTATCTGAAAAGGCGATAGTCATTTCAAGACATGATTGTAACTTCACTGTTTGGTTCTCTGACAATGACACGACAGCTTCCCATGATGCTTTGACGTCGTTTAATGTCTTCTCAAGGATACGTGCATTCGAAATTGAGCTTGTTTGTTGGATTAGAATTTCCAGTGTCTCGATGATGTATGTGTAGGAGACTTGGCGTTCTTCAACAACCTTCGTGAATTCCTGGTAAAGAGAATTGGAGATATCAGTATTCGTGTTAAAAATGCATATTTGCTCGAGAGGCAAAGCATCGTAACGATATAAAGAAGATGTAGCGTGAAGAGTTAATTCAGGAGGAAGAAAAGGAGGGAAGGGCCCACAAATTATCGTTGAGTGTAAATGAAGATGAATGGCAAGATAAGGAACGTTGCTTCGCGTGGAACAAAATTCTGAATTTGCTCTAGAATCCATCATGCTTTATCACATAAAATAATTGCACTTTGAAATACAACTTAGCAAATACATTTCGAACGAAAGGGTGATATTGTTATCAGAATAAAAGATAAAGACAAATCCAGCCTTAGATATGCCATTATTAGAAAGCTCTCCCAAGCAAATTACCTTGTGTTTCTCTACTTGATTCATGGCTGTTTCGGGCTTTCCTCCTGTTGGCTTCTTTCCCTTCAAAAACGCCTTAGCCTCACTCAACCAACCAATCATTTCGCGGACTTGACTTTGGAAATGCTTGGATTTTTCTAGAGCTTCATCGAGTACCTTCAACCTCTCAGCCAGCAACAACTCTATCTCCTCCCATCCACTGTTCAGCTCGCCAAGTCTGCCCTCAAGATTTCCCTTCTCTTCCTGGTTAGCCGTTGAATCGATCAAGCCTTGAACTGCTTTCCTGCATGTCATTATGCTTGGCTCATGCGCCATTACATCGCTGCGAATAACTTTTAGCTTCGCCATTTCAATTTCGATTGCCTTCTTGTCCTTCGGTGGCGCGTCTTTCTCCTGCAGAACAGTTTTTGTCTGCTGAATCCACGTCAATAGCTCTTCAATTGCCATCGAGAACTGGCCTAAATCAAGCAAAGCCTCTTCCAATTTCTGTTGCCTCTCATTGCATAAATTACATAATTTATCCCATCTCTCTTTGACGTCATCAATTTTTAGCATAACTTTGTCCGCTTCTTCGGCGTCCACTCGCTCAGAAAGAGTCTGGCCTTTTTGACTCATGGCTGTTATCTCCATTTGTTTCAGGGTCAAATTTCTATATGTCTCCTAGAAAGAGAAGAAGTTGATACCACTCTTCAACTGTTAAGATAACAACTTATCAATTTATGTTATGATTAATCTCTTTATATTATATCTTATCTTAAAAACCAAAAAAAACAAAACATTTTATGACCAAATGAAAGCAAAAACCAACAAACAAAACGTTCTATTGATCAACTGAAACGCAAAACCAACAAACAAAACGTTCTAATGATCAACTGAAACGCAAAACCAACAAACAAAACGTTTCAATGATCAAAAATGACGAACTTACCCTCATTTCCGCTAGCTGCTCCTTGACAACTTCAACTTTGGCTCCAACAGAAGGTATGCTTTTAAATTTATCCTCCTCAACAACTAGCCACTCAATGATTATTTCGACTTCAGTCTTGAACTGCACGGCAATCTCGTAGATCTGTTCCAGCTCGGTTTTACGCTTGCTCCAATTGCTTTCTAAAGTGTCCCACTGCTCTGTGATTTCTGTCAATTGCTTATGGACGTCAACCTTGTCATCTTGACTTGCGTTGCTAACCAACACTGGGCTGGCCTGACACAGCATGTTTATGTTCTCTTCGTTGCTGTCCAGGTCCTTTCGCAATGACTGAAAAAGAAATCAGATTGCTACATTTTGACAAGAAATACTGAAAGCTTTAGTTGCAACGAATTTCCGTTGCTCCAGCATTAAACGATTTTGTCTTCGCAGGCTTCTCTATTGTTGAAAAAGGTTTTTGAGGCTAGAGGGTTAAAAGGATAGATAAACCCATTGATAATGTTGGCTGTGGGTAGCACGTTGGAACACAAGTGCAACGACCAACGGGGTCTGTTTCCACATTCTTACTTTTGATCGGAATTCCATACCATTAAAAGAACCTTAGGTAAGGCTGTAATATCTCAAAATGGTTCAAAATTTCACTAACTATAAGAATGACTATAAAAGGCCATTACCCACGAAGTCAGAAGAAGAACAATGAAACGAAGCGTTACGTTAGATTTTTATAACGTCGATGAAATTTTGAAGCTACTGATATGTTGAAACAGTACCTCGTGTTCACGCTGCAGGTCTTCAATATCTTTAGGATCAGCTCGAGGCTCTTCCTCCGAATCGAGACATGCAGTTACATCTTCCAAAATCTTCTGCAGTTTCTCGATACCCGGCCAGAATTTCTTACAAGCATCAAGGGACTCATCCAACGAGTTTCTACGATTATCTGCAGCTCCTTTCAGATATCCAAGAAGACTGTTTATCTTTCGCTGCTTTTCTTTGAGGTTTACGGATACTGGGGAAGTTGAATCCTCCTTGACAACATGCTCAATTGAAGCAAGGATTTGTTCCACTGGTGTTTCAATTTTGGCTATTTCTGCCTCCGTGGTCTGTAAGATGATAATGAGGTCAAACAAAGAACACAAAAAGCTAGTTCGGTAGAGGTAGGGCAGTTGAAAGATAACATATTGAACTTAAGCAATAGAAAAACACATCGGCAATAGAAAATTTGACATATACATGGAAGAATGTTTTAGATCACATGGGCTTCCCTACTCTACTTATGACAGCCCAGCACGGGTGCGAATGAATGTATTACCATGCTCCGTCATATGGGTTTTATTTTAACCAACCAAAAAACCCGTAACTACAAAGCTTACAGAGTCCTACAAACCTTATGATCCTCGATTTGTTTCATGATGGGTTCCTCATAGACTGCAATTGGTTCTAACGACTTGTAATAGGATTTCAGACCCTGTAGTTGAGCCATGATTTCATCGGATTCCGCATGAACCTCTTCAACGCGATCGGCTGCCTTATGAATGCTGATACCTGTTAAAACAAAATCAATATCATAAGCTACGTTCTATGTTCTATGTCACAAAGTTATCTCTAAGGAATAGGATGCGATGAAAAAAGATAACGTTATAGCTTCAACCCGCTGTTTCAGCCCTCAAGTTGAGCAACAGAAGTGGGTACTAGACAAGCTTCAAAACTTCAAATGTTTACTTCAACTTCATTAAATACTACTCTCTTCAAGAAAGCTTGAGCTCCACAGTCCAATATACCAATATAAGCATAATGTGAACGAATAAAACGTAACCGCTAATCTAATATAAACGAATATAAGCGTGCAGCATGTATCAACTACCTTTTTCCTGCACTCTTTTGCTGAGCTTGTCCCAACGATCTTCTAAATCTTCCACTTGTTTCTTCACTTGATTTGATGCCGCACCTGGTCCACTGAGCCGGATCAAATCATCACCAGTCTTCCTTAGCGTGTCAATAAGCGGGGCCAGTTGGTCAATCCCGTCCTGTAGATCATTCATTTTCTCCTTTTGAATGGCAATTCCTTTGGACTTCTCGTCGTCAATTTTTTGCAAAATGCCTTCTGTGACTGTAAATAAAACGTAAGAAACATATAACTTTTGAAAAGGGATGTACGCTGTTCATCGCAATGCGTAGCCATCTTATAGAATTACAGTCAGATGCCTGCCTAGGGTTTCAAATGCAAAGCAGTCAAAGAGCATTAAATTCTCCTTCACTCTTTACAATGATATGAAAACCAAGTCAATGATGTTATATAAAAATACTTAGATAAAACTGACAAGCACTCCTGCAAAGAGGAAGCCTTCAACGAGCAAGCTATTATGATAGGAAACAAGATGCGGAAGTCAATGTGCGAAGAAAGGTAATCTCATTAAAATTGCGCAACAAATGAACCGATATAATGATAACATTACATAGCAAACCTTTAAGCCTGTTTTCTACTTCTTTTAAAATATCAGAGAATTGCTGCGCCATTACAAGGGCTTCGATTAAGTTTGTCTGCCTCTGCGAGGTTGCATTATCTAAAAATGTCTGACGATGCTTGAGGCTTTCGATTTTCTCATTCATGGCAGCTTCCTCGTCTTCGTTCGACGCTGCGATTAACTTCTTAGATGCTGCATATAGGCTTTTGAATTGAGCATCACGTGCAGCTATTTCAGTTAGAAATTCCTAAAAAGAGAATCACTGAATTAGAAAAAGGCATAATTACATTGCTATATAAGCAAAACAGTGAGGGCACTGTTAACAAGTACATGCATGAACTAATAGGCCATCGTTGCAGATATAATAAGACCGGAATCGGAATCTCATCGGTCTTAACCGATATAACCAACCCAGCTAGTTTGACCCACTGTTTTGCTACAGTATGAGTGGAATACCAGATATGGAACCAAACCGTGCTTCTTTCGCAAGCCTACAATCCCACAATGTATAGACAAATTCACAGTCTGAATACCTCGACAGACAAATTCTAGTGCAAGATTATACCTGGTGAGTTTTGATTTGCTCCTTCACAACATCCGCATCTACTGCTACGGGCTCCAGACTTCGGTGTCTGTCTATTACGTCATTTAGCCAAGCAGAGAGTGTATCATGTTCGTTATTGAAATCATCAACTTTTTCTTTTCCCATTAAAACACTTCTGGCCTTTTCATCCGTCAACTGCTTCAGCCTTGCGTACTCCTCCAGATCTTTGGATGTCGTTTCTTTGATTTTCTCATACTCGGAGGGAGATAAAACTTTCTCTAATTTCTGGTCGATTTCTTTCAATTTTGAAATTACTGGCTGAAGCCCAGCAACCTGCTTCTGAAGGGCCTAAAATACAATAAAGTTGATTCGAACACATTCAAAATAAACACTTGTAATCCTTCTTTATGGCTAAAAGTACAAAACAAAATTGCAATGCCAGCAGTTAGGGTTTCTAGAACTCTGTATTCTTAGTTACAATATAATTCCTTTGACGTAGATAATAGAACTCGATTGAAAAATAATAGGGTATGTATTGATTGAGTTAAAGTAAAGTGTTGCAAAAAGGTGTAAATATACCCCTCGCGAAAAAAAGTAATTTTATCTTGCATGCTTTCGTCGGTTATAAGATTGAGGAATATGATATCTTTAATATTATTTCATAGCTGACTTCAGTTATACTTAAATGTAACTTTTTTATTCTTTTAATTATGTATTTGCTTGTTACTGAGATAAATCGTTTTCATTTAAACTGACCATGATTTTCTCAGCCTCGCCGACTTCATTCTCCGAAAGCTTTTCGTTCACGTCCACAAACACCGAATTGGCTTCCTTGTCAAGTCCAAAGAACATTTTGCTAAGGTCAAGCGTATCATTCAAAAGAGTTAGCATATTCTCCTTCTTTTCTTTCAAATTTCCATTGTCTTTTTTCAGTTTATCCAATTTGTTTGTGATGATCTCTTCGTCATCTGGAGTACACTGGGCCAGCAATGCTTCTGAAGATACTACGGCTTCTTCAACTAGGTTATCTGTATGGCCGATGTCCTTGTCAAGATCCTGCGAAGAAGAAATTATCAAACATTCATCTAAGGCAGCCATTTTCGATTTACGAAGGGCTACGAAAGACAAGCTTGTTTTTATAGAAAATGTTACACGGACAAGCCTAGTCTGCGAAGCGTGATTTTCTGTTCCTGAAAATTAAATGCTGGATCGAAGGATTCACTATGTTGCACAGAATTAAGTTTAAGGACGTTTTAGAAAATCAGATTGAAAAGAGGAAGTACATAAATGTAAAAACTTTTACTTTATTAATTTATTGTAGTATCAGGGGTAAAAAAACCAGGATTATTTCAGTGGTGTTGGGGAAAACAAAATTTTACTTTTTTCACGGGCGTAATTTTGTAGAAATACGATCTTTATCTAGTGATGATTGGGCTGGTCTATCAAAGTGTTCAATGTCTTATAGGCAGAGCTGTACACGCCTTAAAGCAGGCAACAGTCATCATGTAGCAAAGACTGGTTATGATTTATACATTAGAGTCAGTTAGATAGACTGTTGCAATAATGACAAAATTTATCTCTTTATGAAGAGCCTTCAGCGTTGCAAAATACAACTAAAAGTGTAAGGGTCTGGTGTCATGACATATTGAATCACCAGGGCGACTAATGGCAAAAGTATTAGGTTCTCTAAAATAAAATTGCTAACCAAACAATGACAACTAATTCATATGAATATGTCACAACATGTCACAAAGAGACTTTATACTCTTGTGATACACACGAATAAGCTGGAATTATCTTCATATATCTAACAAGGTATAGATCTTACCATAAGTTCCTGAATCTGCTTTGCAATGTCATCTTCAGTGGCACGTGGCTGCCATTTCTTGTCATCAAGGTTGCCATTCACATTGCCAATACTTTTTGAAGCTGAATCAAGTTTTGCAAGAAATTCCTGCGAAACGGGCAGCAATCCATCTAATTTACTTTTTCGATCCTGAACATCGCTATTTAGCAGGTTCCAGAGTTCTGTTACTTTATCCAAATCTTCTTTGGTCTTTGACGCTCCTTCTTCGTCAGGTTGTGACTCAATAATCTCCTTGCCCATTTTAAGCATCGAGTTGAAACTAGGAGCACGATCATCAAACATCTTGCTAAGAAGCTACAAGACAACAAAGAGAAGTTCTAACTCAGCGAACTGCGTAAAGAAATAATTTTTTGTAACTTCTTATGAAATTCATGACATGAACACTTAAAGACCTCAAATAGAAATTATCTATCAAAAACGTCAAAAACATGTTGTTTCTCGCAGAATCACCATGCTGAAATGAACTTCGAATTTCAAAAAAAAGCAAAGTTAGTAGGTTGAGTGAAAAATTGCAGACAATAGTTACAAACTGAATTTTGTCAAACTTTACTCTGTAAGAGAGACGACATCTGGAAAATGGCGAAATTCCGATATGGGACACTTTCAGAATATTAAAAATATCCCGTTTCCATTATCACATAGATTCAGGTCGCTTGAGTTCGTAATTCAAATTGATACCTTCTGTTCCATTATTTGGGCCTTAAGAACATTTGGATCGGCTGCTGAAATAGGCCCTTGTCCGTCTACAATATCCTGAGTTTCTTCTAGCCATTTGAACAACGAATCTACCGCTTCTCCAAACTGGCCGCTTTGAACCAGTGCCTCTTCCAGTTTCCCTTGGTGGTCAGAAAGCTTTTGAGTTGCATCTAACAGTCGATTGTTCAGATCGTTTACAGATTGGTCAAGATTAGATGAATCGCAGTCCGGATGCTTGCTGACGATTTCATCTCGTGATGAGTTGATTTTAGATGCAGAGGACTGGATTTGTGCGACATTCGACCGTAGCTCCTACAGATCGATATGAAGGGATAAATTTTACAAAGAATTATATCTAACACAGAATTTTTCATTTATAGAAAATTAGAGGTTAAGGACAACATATAAAGGGCCAAAATACTATCTCGCTGTTTTTGAAATCAAAAAACGGGCTCATCGACTTATTGTAAAACAATGATTTAGTGCAAATATTTTTCTACAGTTTTTCTTGTTATTTGCATACCTTAACGTCCTCCATTTGTTGCTTAATTGCTTCCCCATCACTTCCAATGACTGGCAGAGCATCAATCTTCTTCTCCACTCCTTCCAGATTACGGCCTAACCCTTTCAATCCATTGTTAAGCTGATTCACTTCTTCACCAAGTCTCTGAGATTCTTCAATCAACGCTGGGAGTTCTTCATTGCATTTTCTTCTGTTTTCAGTGATAGAAACAAGGTTATTGCTGAGCTTCTCATCGCCAAACCCATTTTTGAGTAACTGATTTCCATTGCGAAGAACTTCGTTTATCTGCGGGCTCGCTTCCTCCAGTCCAGACTGGACATCCTAATTCAATAAAAAACATTGATTGTAGCACAAACATAAAAAAAATTCTACCATAACTACATTGAGTATATTAGGATTTCCATAATAAAATTGTTTAAATGTGAGAACAAGTATACTTTATCAAATAGTTAGTTATTCATCAAACATTGATTTACACAAATATTGTCTATGAGAACCTTATTGCAGTGATATCTAACATTTTACTTAGTTGCAATCTTCCATTTCCTAGACAACAAATCCATAGATCTCTTGTCTCTAAAGCTCTTACTTTCATCCATCTTATAGAAGAATACCAAAGGAAACCAGAGTCTTTCCTATTTTTAAATCTACCTAGAAGGGTAAACCTTTAATTACATACCCTTAATTCCTCAGCCTGAAGAATCAGATCCTCAACAATCAGTTCCTTGGGTCTATTCTCATCCATCTTTTTGACAGCATCCTTCAATTGCTGCGCAACTGCGCCGGCCTTTGCCTCAGCATCCTTCAAATCAGCTACCGTATCATCTACATTTCCAAATTTATCACTAACACTCTTCCTCAGCTTCTCATATTCATCCCTGATGCCCTCCAAACGTTTGGAAACTGGCGTTACGTCAGAATTGACATGGTACGTCTGCAGCTCATCTGCAATTGCCTCTACTGATGCCACATTTGGTTCCAAATCGTCCAGCTTTTTCTTCAACTTGGACATCTCATCTTTGACCTTCTCCAGCCCATCGCTGTTTATGTCAGCTACCGTAATTGATTCCAGTGCCTTTTTCACTTTGCTAGTTACATCTCCAATGTACTTGGTTTTGCTGTCAAGATCGAGCAGCTTTTTATCCATGTGGTCAACTGCATTTTGGCGGTCTTTCAACAACTCGCTGACGTCATTCCAGTTTTTGTTCGTATCTTCAAATCCAGACATTACTGCATCTACATCTCCCTGGGACAAATCTTTCAATTCGCCAACAGTATTAGAAACTTCTTCATAGACAGGCTGTTTGGTACCAAAGTCTGATCGCATTACCTGAGATAAGAGATAAATAAAAAGAGTCACCCTGCGGGTAGTCTGCGAACATTCTGCGAACATTCTGCGAACATTCTGCGAACATTCTGCGGGTCAGTCAACCAAATAACACCGCTAGGCTATACACGAGCTATTTCAAATCAGCAAATATTTTGGGAAGGATTAATATGATGAAAATAATACAAGTAAAAGTACATAGCTTTTGTAAATAGTTACAGAAATTACATAGCATTCCTACTTCGAATAATTTCAGTGACTGACAACTAGTTTGAAATATCCAAGTTTATTGCGATCATAATAGAAAAAGAGGAAATAATAGAAAAAAATTAGAGAAGAGTTTAAAGGCATACCCTGATGGGTTACGAAACCTGACAAGATATACTCACATTCAACTCTCCTTTTTGTGATTCTATTTCACTTGGAATACAAGAAACAGGCTTCAAATCGCGTAGCTTTTTCTCCGTTTCGCATAGCCAATTATCAAGAGAATCTTTAGCATCTTCCATTTTCTTTGCCTTGTCATGTACTTCTTCCAGTACCTTCTTTCTTTCTTCTAAATCTTCATGAACCCTTTGCCAGTTGCTTGCAAGTGCTTTCATATCATCTTCGAGCTTAGCTTTCTCTTCAGGAGATTCAATTTTCTCAAGCATGCTATTACCAGAACTGAGTACGTTGTCATACAGGGGGTTCTCTTGCTCCAAATCTTTAGCAAAAGCCTACGAGAAAGAATTATATACAATACTTAAATGGTAATATAAAATAAAATCAGACAGGCATCAGCTATTTTTGATGACCAAAGGACGGGAGGAAGGAATAGCAAGGAACGAAAAGGAAAAAAGATGAAGCTTCAAATAAAAGAGGGCAAGGCATAAAGGAAGGAAAGGGTAAATTTCGAGCAGGGAAACAGGAAACGAAGAAATGGACAGCAAACATGTGCAGAATGGGAAGCTTTGGTGCATCAAAAAAAAATTACAATTTGCAAGCAGTAGCCATCACTTAGAAGAAGAAGATGCAACAAAATTTACAACAGCAAACAAGGAAACTTTTCTACATATATCTTGCAAGGTATCGTTTTGCTTTTTAGACAGAAAGAAGATAGACCTTACATACCTCAAGCTCCTTTATCGAATCAGCAGCTTTTGCGGACTTAGCGGAAATGGGCTCCTTCTGCAGCTCTTTGATCTTTGTATAAAAATTTGACAGCCTTCTTGAGAAATCTTCCAACTGATCTTTGAAAGCTCCCGTTCGTTGGAGCTGTTCCTTCAGCATTGATTCCCGATCGTTGAGCTTCTCCATCATATCGCTGAGTGGCTTCCTCGCCTCATCAACCTGTTTATGGATGGCTTCTTCAACCGCCGGTAGGTCGTTGAATTGAATGATTTCGTCACCAAGGGTACTGGCCTCATTGCAAAGCCCTTCGATGTTGCTAGCCTCAGCCTGAAGTTCCTGAAACCGACAGATAATTTTCAATTAGTTCATATAAATAAATAGACTTTGCTATCATTTAATAACACAGCATAAAATACAATTTTTAATAACAAACCTACCTTAACCTATTAAAAGTACCGATAGACTACAGGCCTAAAAGTCATCTTATTCAAATTTATCACATGTCGTGCACATAGGTAAAACAACAAGTAATCACTGAAGTTTTGCGCGACATATAGCACTTGGTTAATCAATGCAATCTTTGTTCGGCAATATGCAGTGACAAGCAGCAGCAAATTTCTCTGAAGAATAGAGACAGATTTATCTTCAATCAATCTCATTAAAAATGAACATTTCGAGCCATGGACTATCATTATGAGCTTCTGAACATTAGACTCAATAGCTAAAAAAACTTAAGCATGTGGACTGTAGCTGAATACAACATTGCAAGACGAAGTCGCTACCATAATTTGCTATTGGGGACAGTTTCTAAAACAATGTAGGACATACCTCTACTTCAACCAACCCCAGCTTCACCTTCTCAGCATCAGCGGCAAGATCAAATGGCCGATCCATCTTTGTCTTCAAATTTTCCATTCGTTTTCCAATATCGCTGATCTGTTCATTGTACTGGTTGGCAGCGTTAGTAGCAGCCTCGGTTTTTTCAGCCTCCTTCTCAAGCACCTCGACTAAATCATCATACCGTTGGTCGACCGCATCAGTTCTTCTTTTCATAGCGGCGATGTTTTCAGGCTCCTTGCTGACAGCCACAGCTGCAACAGCAAGTTTGTGCGAATTGTCCAGGCTTGGCTTTCGATCTTTCAGTTCTTTCAAGAGATCCTATCAAAAAACAGACACTACTTTAAAAAAGATGAAAATACAAACATATTAATTTTTAAACAACTTAAACACAAGGTTCTTAGTGTCTTACAGCACTAGAACAAAGTTGGGTTTTTAAACAAAAAATGTTCGCTATTTCCTGTGTTTAATTAGCTTCTTTGAGCATCAATATCACTTCCAAATGCGATAAACATTTTCCAATAAATAATGGGCTGATTTGATGTTTTAAGGACGTCTGCACTAAACAAGATAACAAAATAATTCGGATTCAAATTTGATAATCACTCTGTTCAATTATTGTGAGTATCGATTAACTCCGACTAAGGATCTCACTAGCAAATCCACAACTTCCATTACTCCTGTCTGCAAATAACTCACCCCAAGATTATACATAACATTACCTGCAGCCTCTGTGTTTCCTTCCTTCCAGCTTCAACATCTACTCCGAACTTTGCAGAATTCTGCAGCCCTTCCTCAACTTTGTTGCAAGTCTCCTCCACAGGCTTGAGTTCAACATTCAGCTGCTGCAACGCCTGCTTCATGTCCACCAGTTTGTTCGAGGCAGTCTTCAGTTTTCCATCTATGTCATCCCAGTCTCGTTTTGCGTCAGCTTGAGCCTCCACTACAGGCTCTGTATCCGAAGCACAATTCTCGACAAGGAAATTTCCGGTCTCCAATAATCTTTCGTAATCTGGTTGGTGACACTGTACATCAGCAACAAGTTCCTAGAAGTAAACCAGACGGAAAGATGGAGATAGTTTCCCGATGGAGAGATTTTTAAGCCTTGAAATATCGTAGAAAGATAGATCCAAACACGATTAAATATTTAAGATGCGTTTGAAGAAAACTTCGTAGTACTTCTCGTGAATATAACCAACTAAAATAACATATATGGAATTTGCCAATGAATTTAGTTTGTCGATGGAAATAATATGCCATAAAAATGAAACCTCGATAGCTTTCTCCTGTTCCTGCAATTTTTCTTCTTCAACTGACATCACATCAAGATCATCAACTTTTGGTTTTGTTGTGTTAACCCATTGACCAAAAGCTGCCTTCTTTTCTTCGTGCTCCTTTGTGACCAGAACAACTTTATCCAAAGCATCAGATCGCTGTGTAGACACCTCGCTGAGCTTATTCCACTGCTCTTGCAAGTCTGAGATCTCCTTCAAAGCTTCAGAAGAAGCTCCGTCTGTTACGTCACCAGCGCCAGATGCTATTAGCATGTCCATCTTTGGTTTATTTCTGCAAATCGAAATCATTTGTTACGTAACGAAATGATTTATCTGCATGAATCGGCACTATCATGTTTCACGTCAACACATTTGAAGGTGGATAATAACAATTAAGGTAGGTCAGGACGTCGATAAGAATTTTAACAAAACTCAACAGACTTATCCCATCCAATAACTAACAAACTAAACACAAGTTGGTACATTGCAAAGTTATGTACACGACATTATAACTGGAGGAACCATTCAAAAACACCCTTGTAGTACAATATGTCACTCTGTATCTCTGTAAGCTTAAGTTAAGAGTTCATGGTAGAACACAGGAACACAAAGAGATGATAGGAAGAGCCTTTCACGATGATCTTCTAGGCAATAAATGACAATTCTAATCTTCGTACATTCTTCAATTTGCAGCCATAACAGATCTAGTGCCGAGGTTTTTTTCATGGCATTCTTTATATAATAAAATATAACCTAGTTTACCTGGCAATTTCCTCCATGATATAAGCCTGTTCATTTGCCTGTCTCTTCGATGTTCCCTCTTCAGCAGATAACGGACTCTGACTCTTCACAGCGACGTCCATCTTCTTCACCCATCGAAGAAGATCCCCGACCTCGTCTTGAAATTTCAGTGATGATGAAAGCGCGGCCTGTAGAATAGCCTCTTTTTCATCAAGCGTTTTTGGAATCCTCTCGTCAAGTGGTGACTTAATGCCATTGACGCGAAGGTTGATAGAGTCGACAACATTCTGATGGGTTGCGTTTATCTTCACAAGTTGCTCGGTTATGTCATACAGAAGAGTAAGTTTGGGAGCAAACCTCGCCAGCTCGTATCGGATGACCTACGAAAGAGGACATAACAAGCTCATTAACAAGGTCAAAGGTTTGGTGGATTGACAATCCTTCCATAGCAAAAATTAAGTTCTCTATATTCGTATGATGCTTTTGAGAGGCCGTATGTTTAGAAAATGTAAGCAAGCAAAAGACAGATAGCTGCGAAGAAATACTCACAATCCTGTAACAATGATATAAAAAACAATAAAAACCTGATCATCTAACAAATTCTAGTAACATGCGCTTCAACAAATTCAAGCAAACCATGAAGGGAGCTGGGAACTCTAAAAAACAGATTTTTCAATCTAAAAAAAGATTACCTGGATTTCTTCAAGCTGTGATTTCATGGTTGTAGGATCAGTTGTCGGATAACTCAAGATTTCCAACTTCCTGCAATTTTTTTCAATCCAAACTTCAATCTCGATTATGATTTCAAGGATTTGTGTAACTTTCACGAGATTTCCCTTAGTTTCGTCGCGTTTATCTTTCGCTTTGTCGAACACAACATAACAAGAATCGCTGAGTTTATCCAGCTCCAATTCTATGCTCTCTTGGATGTCGAGATGTCGGATTAGAATCTGACCAGCTTTGTTCGTTGCTCTCAAATCCTGTTTCTTCTTATCAAGCTGATCTACCAGATCCTGAAGAGAAAGATGCATTTAAATAGCTATAGGGAGGTTGTCTTTATTGAGCTGCATACAACGAACTATAATGGTTTTGAAACAACACACATTAAAGCTTTGCAAAAACAATGTATGCATATGTATGAAAAAAAACTGCTAACTAAACTAAGAAATTTTATATTCACATGTGATTGTTATTAAAGAAAATAACTGTTAATGAAAGACACCATTAACTTTGATTTCTTAACGAATGAATAGATAAATAACACTTAAGAGCAGACAACGACAGCAAGTCAATAAAATCACATTGCGTAATATCTTACTATACAGATCGCTTACACTCATAAAAATAGCATGTATAAACAGTTCGGCATTAATGGCGGAATCAGATTTTCTTAATAAAAATTCAACTAGTAACTCACATTAAGTTTCTCCACTTGTTTTTTGCCTTCCACCTCATCAAGGCCAAATGGCTCCATTTCTTCTAGGCTCACACTGGCAGCGGTGATAAATTCTTCCAACGGTTTTTTCTCTGCTTCGTAGCCATGAAGAGCCTCTTTTGCTTTCTCCATCTTCTTCTGTCGCTGCTCAATAAGGGTCATTACGTCAGCAAGCGGAACGCTTATACTGTTGAGGCGTTCGTTTATTGCTGAGCATGCGCGAGGGTTGTCCCGGTTTAGACTGATCAGCGTATTGGCAGACTGACGAGCGTTCTCTAGTGATGGTCGGTGCTCAACAATTTCTTGATGCAATGCCTGGAAAAGTGCCAGAAAAGACATATAAAACCGGATACTTTTTGAACCGGATACTGTTTGAACCAGATACTGTTTGAACCGGATACTGTTTGAACCGGACAGATGTTACAATGAGACGTTTACACTATGTTATAACTAACATTCTGGACAGATTTTATAACTACTATTCTGGTCATTTTGAAAACATGGCCTATAGCAGACATATTGCGTCAATTAGCGAACTTTCAAAGGACTCGAGTATCATTTACACCATACAAGACTACATACGATTGAGGGCACACTATGCTTATAGGGTAGAGGCTGTGTTTCTTGAAGGGTTCAAGAACATTTAGCTTTACTTTGTTTGAAGATGGGTGATCAGATTTCATGGAGTCGTGAAGGGCATAGCAAATGAAGCTTTTGTAAGACAAATGAAAGCAATGAAACAGCTTCATAACTTTAAAAAAGGCCTGGTAAGACAAAGTAGGGTTTGCTAGTGACGTAAGGATTCACTATAGAGCTCCTGGCTCTATTACTAGAAGGCGCAACTTAGGCCATATATGACGCGAAATACTTTTCTCTATTGGTCTCTTTGCTTTGAGAATCTTAACTAAACTGAATTATCCAAAAAGAAAAATCCAATCAATATATACATACTAAATGATTGCTTCTAAATAAACTCGAAATTCAGAATTGCAACTTTCCTGGACAAAATTGTATAAATTTATCAAGTTATAACAAATCTAGTTATTAAAATCCATGCAGACAAAATGACATAGAATAAAGCATTTATAAACAAAACAGTCTTAAACATACTTCCAAGTCACTCATGTTTTCGTTCAGTGTTTCCCAACTTCCGTCAAGCGGTTTCACAACTTGAGCCTTCTCCTTAATAACTGGAATCCATAGCAACAGTTCAATAACAATTTTCCTAAAATTATCAGCTTCGGACACCTCTTCCACAGCTATGTTATAAAACGCGTATAGATCGGATCTGGTTTTGTAAAAATCTGATTTAACTGTCCTGAATCGTTGTTCCACGGGTTCGACTTGGATTCCGAGATCTTTGAGTAGCTTTGGGAATTCATCGCAAATCTGTTCAAGATGTGGTTCTTCTTTCTCAAATTCTTTTTTTAATTCCTTCAAAGTGAATTGGAAATTTGGAAATGAAGCGACACTTACAATGACAGTGGATGATAAGATACGTTCACAATCTGCATAACCTTCCTGATAATGTTCAAAATGAAACTTACAGAACTAAATTAGGAACGCTGAAAGGACACAGCCAATCTACCAAATAGATATGTTACGAAGGGTGCTAAATGGAAAATACTTAGAAACTCAAGAGGAGTAGGCGGAAGGAGAGGGGGGGGGGAGGTGGGTTGTTGTTGGCCAAAGTTGTTTCTCGACAAATGTTTAGAACTAGTTATGTCTTACTTATATTCTAACGCATTTAGATATAGTGAATATAAAATACAATATGCCTTTTGGAGAGCAAAAATTTTGGATCACTAGCCTAAACAAGCAGATTTGTCTCCTTGATTACTTACCTCTATTCTATCAACCAGCTGTTTTCCTTTAGCCTCGTCATCCTGAAACAAAGTCTGTTCTTCCATTGTGCGTTTGGCAGTTCTTATCAGGTCCTCAATCGGAGTTAGTTGTATCTGGCAGGCGTCGAGTCTCTTACCCACTTCTAGAATCCTCTGTTTTTCATTGTCTGCAAAACTGTTCAAGTCTTCATATCGTCCGTTTAGATCCTTCATGTGCCCGTTGACATGACCAACTCCATTCGTCACGTTTCGGGAATCGCATTCGTTCACAAGTGACTTGCCATTAGCAGACATGTCTTCGTAAAGTTGATAATTCTGGTTAAGATCTTCTTTGAAATGCTGAGAACAAATGAAAAATGGAAGTAATAAAAACCAAAAAACCAAAGAAAATACAGAAATCTGCAAACCTGTTGGCAAAAGGAAGGAGCAAGGATACTTATACTGCAGGAGGGAATGAGGTGTTTACGAGAGGTTTTTAACATAAGACGAAAAAAGATAACAATGTTGTTTCAAATTCTTGAAAAGATCAACTTCATCATTGAATGAAAACAGGCAAAAATTATATAAAAACCAATGTTCTTAATGCGTAGCTAGGCATCAATGCAACAGAGAAGTGCACTTCTCCACAACCTCAACATCGTGTCTGATGGTTTTGCATTGAAGTTTACAGTTTATAATTTTCATATGGTTTTTTTTCTGCAATCTGATCTATGGTCCGTCTAACATGCACCAACAAGTATTTTTTGCCATACAGGGAAGTTTTGCTTTATCAATATGATTATATCTACTTCATTTCCAAATCACTAATCAAGCATCTGCTAAACTGCAGGTGAAGATCGAAAATGCTGATTGATAAATGTTTTTTACTCAAAACTGAAAACCAAAAATATCTGCATGCATTGCGTGGAAACTCAAAACAAATCTGAAACAACCTATTTCAAGGCTATCTTTCTTACCAAATCCCTATCCCTCTGTTGCAAATACCCATCCTCTGTTCTTTCTCCACTTTTAAACATGCCTTGATTTTCCACACTCTGATTTCCAAACATTATTTAACAAAACACAGGGAAGAATTCTTATTGACAAGACGCAGACCGACCTGGATTGTACTGCGAACAAACTAAATTCTGTACGTGTATCTTGTACTTATTAAGGCCCCGATAGATGATTCGGATTATAATCTGATTGAAGACACCAGTTTCCAATTCACGGTGGCACGGAATACCTTAATGGAGTTTTAATGGACGCCGAAAAAGTTTTCAACTTAAGATTACTAGCAGGGTTTGAACAAACAAAAATTGTAAGAATCATTAAATACATTAAAAGTGCGATTGCTGTGATATGAAACACTACAAAGGTTATTGTTGATAAACAAAGGCTTTCAGTTAAAAGTTGGATTGTTCAATATTTAATCACTACCAGTGTTTACGGTTAATATTCGCAGCGAGACGTTCAAGAAAACGCTCCTTGCATACCTTAAAAACGAATTTTTAGGCGTGTGATTATGATGAAGTGATGACAATGAGTTATTGTGAATGTTAATATATACGAAAGCAGGTTTAATAGAAACAAGCAGGTGTTGCGTAGTGTGGGTGAGCAGAAAGAAAGGAATAGAAGCGGTCCATAGGAATTATAATTGGAATGAAGTAATTAATACCATTTCATGACGGAGGTAAAATAGGAATGAAGGATAATAAGAAAAAAAGATGGAAATAGACAACATCGAGACAAGGTGTCTTAAAAAATGGTTTTGAAAGTTTAAGAAAAAAATAATTGACTATGAAGCAATTTTGATTATTGATTTCTGAATTTCGATTCTTGGTTCCTGAATTGTGATTCTTGATTCCTGATTTTTGGTTCTTGATTCCTGAATATTGATTCTTTATTCCTGAATTTTGATTCTTGATTTCTTAATTTCGATTCTTGGAGTTGTGCTTTTTGACTTGTGGATTCATGATTTCTGGACTCGTGATTCATTGAGTTCGCAATACACAAAACAGTTCTATGCTTAAGCTCGAATAAACGACATTTAATCAAAAAAAAAAGATTTACTCACGTCAATTTGGCTCTGCCTTTGGTGAATAAAATCTTTGTCGGCGGTAAGTGGCGAATTCATGAGATCGTACCGATGTGTCTCAGCTTTCATGAGCCAGCAACTGAAGGTAACAGACGACTCATCGAATGACTTACTCTTTGGATACAGTTCATCAATATCTTTGCAGCGTTCCTCAGTAACGTCTTTTACTTCCTCCCATCGTTTCTTGGAATTATCCAGCCTCGATTGCAGTGCATCTCTTTCTGGTCCATGACTGGTTCCATTCAATATCTTCTCACCTTCGCGAATGACCTTGTCGTACAAAGGTTGTTGCTGCACCACATCTTGTTGTATAAGCTGCCAAAGAGAAAAACCGTGGGTTGTAAATAGAGTTTGAGATCAACAAAAGGATTAACTTCTTAAACGCTTTTCGAATAGACTAACTTATTACAAAGGCCATCAAATACACCCACTTCGTATAAAACAAATTTAAGACGCTACCATTAGTGCCGAAATAACAACGTTACTGTGACGTGTCGAGCTTGTGACACAGACACCAGGGACTGCATGGCATAGGAATTGGCAAAACAAGAACGCCACAAATGAACCAAAACAGAAGCATGTCAGAATCGAGATTGCCAATGTCCTTTAATAAAAAATCTTCCAAAATCGTCAAATGTCAACAGGATTAAACTAATCCAATGTGAGGGCTAATGACCTCAAGAAGAAAATCTGTTAATTTTTTTTACCGAGAAATTATATTCAAGAAAATGCTTTTGCGAATATTTGCAGATTAAGTATTTTTGACTTGGATTTACGACGATACTGGGGATGGTTAGTTAACCGCTTCAAGAGGGGGGGGGCTGTCTTAGCATGCAATATAAGGGTATTCAAGGGAGCTAATTGATGGAAAAGTATAATCTAATGAAATTACACGGAGTCCCTGGCTATCAGCCCGAGGAGGCTGGGAATGATACAAGGGGTCTCAAAACACTCACTTCAAAGATTATTGGGCCTTTTACGTCGATATTCTTATTTTTAATTCTAATCCTTAGCTGCCAGGAAACAATAAAACCCGGTAAAATGTCTGTGAAAAACATAAAGGAACCAATAACGCGAATTGGTAGTTCTTTATCACTGGCATAAGGCTTAGCTGGTTTTTTCTACCTTTGTGATAGAAAAACCATAGACAGGTTCTCACTTTATAAAGGGAAGATAAAACATGAAATAGAATTAGGGATGGTTGAGAGGGACTTCGGTGATGACGCCATTATCATTGAACGTGAGGTCAAAATCTGAATCGAATCTTCGTTTCAATATCTTGTTCTTTGGCACATGGTAGTGAATTTGGGTTAAAATTTAATCACAGATGGAAAAACCATTATTTGCGCATACAATCGGCTAACGTAGCAATGAAAAAGATAGCCACAAGACAACCTCGTGTGTTTGCAGATTGCTAATAAATGAAGCAAACGCGGAGAAAAGTCCTCGCTGACCTAATCCAAGCAGTAAGGTGAGACAAAGGACGGGAGAAAGCAGTACAGACATGGTGATGAACTGTGTACACAGGCTTTGGACATGTTTGGGCCAAATAAATGCGATTGAGCAACAGTTCCATTGGGTAGAAAAATGTGCATCAACACAGGGGGCAGCCAAAGGAACCTTCTCACAAGACGTGCATGTTCCTATACAGAGTTACAGGTATCCAATATATACAGAAAATGTGTCTTTTCATTTCACAAATACAAAGTGAAGCGCTTGAACAGTTTTTACAAACGCCTGTCGGGGCCGTCAGAGTCAATAGCTTTCTCTCGGCAGGATCTAATTTCCATTTTATTCAAGTTTAATGAGAAATTAATTTGGGAAGGCATAATATTTGGCAAAGCATTTTTTGTGACGTGTTTCTTTGATTTTTAAACTGCCTTTAGGAAACCAAATGTTAGTAATGGGCGTTCCCTATTGGTACAAATGGCGTTCCTTGTTGGTACAGGAGCATGTTCTTACAGCAAAAAGGGTGTCGCCTAAAATTTTGCTCTATTCAACCCCCTTCCTCCACAGACTAGTGGAAGACGCCACAACGGACCTAGGCCCCTCAGGATGAGCAATACATCTTTGACGTCTGTTTATAAAGATAGTTAAAGTCAAATACCACTCACGAAAAATAAATATTTGCTCGAACGATCGAATATTCAAGTTATGAACGGTTTGTGGATAGGAGAAAGATATTTCTCAAACTAGGCCAGCTCACGTGAATGCAAATCGATTCCACTACCCCCGTACTAAGGTAAAAGTGTTTCGATAACTTTATAACTCATAAAAATCCTAAATGCCTTTCAAATGAGCTAATGTCATGGATAATTGCCAATCTTTTCCTCCTACTTAAGTGCTAAATCATTCTGAAAAATCGCCTTGCGACCAAAACCAAATGCGACAAAAAACCATCAAATTCACCACAAATATCCAGAAATGGTCGCTGTGTCTATGAATATCAAGTAAATCTCGTGCCAGAAATTTCAATTTCGCCACAAAATTGGCTTGACTTTTATTAATCCCTGCCAATTCGGTCATAGGCTTGGTAAAGATTGGTGGATGTGGAATGTCTTGATTTGTGGAATTTCACACAGGCGAACTATTTTGAAGTGATTTCTAAAGTCTACTTTCTTAGAAGCTTGGGTGCCAGTATCTCCATGATATAGTCACAGATATATATTTAGAGCGAGGGCCGGTCTACAATATTTTAGCCCCGGTTTTTGAAGGCTCTGTTACCCAGGGTACTATTCCAGTTCCCCATGGCATTTAATTGTAATTCTTTCACCAGTAAAAAGAATCCCTAGATACCGAAATTCCAGGTACAATTAAGAATACATCGAAGTCTCTAAAAAATTCCAGCAATCTCTGGTAACTTCCTCTTGTCCTAACAAAACAAAGGAGTTTCTGGGGTGAGACGAAAACATCGCTATAAGTTAAAGAACCCCTGTATTCAATTACGAGTTTATTCTACATAAGGTACAAAAATCTTAGTACAAATGAAAAATACTAAATTTAATATCGAAAGTGTGTCTTCCCTTTATTAGCACAAGCCCAGCCACATGTCACCGTTAATTGCGCATATAATCAATTTACCACCCTCGCAAGATATTAACCAGTAATTTATGGCCCGTTTTACATCCTAAAATCTCTAATTGATTCAAATTTCTTTAGGCAGACGACTTCGTTGTGGTTAATGAAAACGAATTCATATTTGGAAATAACTTCCCTTTCATTGTCATAATGAAAACACTGTAAACCGCATGGCCCTCCAGCCTGGAAACAACATCACGCTTGCCAAATTGGGCACAATATTTGTAATAGGGTCTTATGAATAACAAATTTTTGCTGAAATCTTGTATTAAGACGCCTTTTAACGAATTGAATTAGATTTAATTGCAGTTAATTGAATAGGGTTGGTGACGATGTTGGTGACATTACACGGGATTAAACAAATAAAATAAAAACAAGAATCTAAAAAGGGGTAGGGGCGCCTAGACGAACATATCAACGAGGCATGTTAGGGGCAAGTTGTGACGTGACAGGGAGATTAATTTTTAAACTACATCAAAATGACCTTATATAAATAGGATAAACAAAATTGAGTCCCAAGATTATTGCAAGGCTAAGTTGGTTGCTGGAAATGATTTTTAAAATCTTTGTTGTTTATTCAATAGATCCAAACAACTAGACAAATAATAATGGTTTTAATTGGGCTGTCGAGTGGTGTAGTCAAGAAGTCATAATTAGAAATACAAGGCAAAAAAATGAAAATAAAATCGAAGTACTAAACTTAAAACATGTTTGATCCCTATTATATTTCTTATAGTTTATTTTTCAAACATTATTCATTTACTTTTCATTAAACCATATATTACCATTACTTTAAATTTTCAAAATCCTAAAAATTATCTTACCGTTATGATAGGCTTGTTATAATGAATACATTAATAAATTGACCTGTTGAGTTTCTTAAAACGTGATATTTAGAACCCACAATCACACCTGTTCTTTTTTCCACGGGAATTAAGGCTTTCTAGTTTAATAATTGTTGAGGTTTTGAAATTTAACAACTGTCGTATCAAATCGAACAGTGCGAGAAGTTCATATTTAATTATCTACTGTCCGCGAGGAAAAGCGTTGTTTTAGAGGAGTTCAAATCACTGTTGCCAAGTATATGGAAAATTATTGTTCAAAAACAGACAAGGACAACGATTGAATCGATCAGCTGCTTGCATATTTCCAAGTCCGGAAAACGGGAAGTCCGGGTGATTGAAAAAAGACCTGCTTTGCTAGAAAGCATTTCTTGAATCTTGCACAATTTATTGGATGGTGAAATGTCTGACGTAAATCATAAAAAACCATCAAATAGTGATTACTGTTTCAAAATTACAGTTATTAAACTTCCGCAAATTGAAGAGAGGTGATGAAAATTAACTGCTGTAACCTGTCTTACGAGATCGGCTCCAGGCAGCAATAACAATAGGTGATAATGGACACGCGAGACGGAACTAGAAAAACCTCAAGCCCAAGGTTCTTTAAAAACTTTAAAAAGCCAAATCTCATATGTAAAAACACTGATACTGTCAGAAATGCTTAAAATAAACAAATAAAAATTCTTACGCGAATGTTGTTTTTTCTCGGCCTGACGAAATAAATATAATTTGAAGCCTTCGTTTCAGTAAAACCATCACCATTTGTAAACTGTCTAGCCGCTGAACCTTCCCCTTCGGCCATATCTTTTCGTAAAATATTCCGTGTCTTTACATCAGAGGCGTCAAAAATGTGGTTATTTCGATATTAAACTGTAATTTTAAGTATAACTGTTTCGGATGCGGTGTGCACACCCCTTCTTGCTTTCCGTCGACTGAGGAACATGACAATGCGATCTGGCGGATGATCTCTGAGCATGTGATGGACCATTTGCAACGGACGGGGGGCAATTCTGTAACTATTAAATATAGGGCTGGGAAAAAGAGTCCCAAGAACAGACTTTTAGAAATAGCTGGCTCACATTTTCTAAGACTGGCGAGTCATACGAATTAGTGTCATATAACTAAATGAAAACTAACCCAAATACATACTTTTCTTTATTGAAAACTGGACACATTTGGAAAAAGATTACACCTTTCACAAAATGAAATTCCTTTGTTCGTGCTTCTCTTTCCATATCCACAGAAAGTTCGTCCCAGACTTTAAAAGATAACATAGAAACAAAACCGAGTCCATAAAAAGAAAGCTGTAGGTGTTTAGTCTGAAAAACAAGATGACTCAAAATCTTCTACACATGTCGTTGCATTGTTATTGTTTCGTGTTTTCTATATTTTTCG